GCGAAGGGTTCTGGAGGCGGTGTGAGGTGTGAGGAGTTTAAGCTTAGGGTTAGACAGGGTTTAACTGCTGTGTAGTGGAAGGGCATTTTTTATTGTTGTTCTTGTGTATTTATGCTTTAGTGCTTTGGTGCTTAGCCAGTTGTTGTCTTTGCTGTGTCAATCAATCAGACAATGAATCACTCAAATAATAAATAAATATTAAATGTGAACTTTAATGAAAAAAAAAATGACATTTTGAATTTAATAGATTTACCTTAACCTAATTGGAAATCTGATATAAACTGGTGAACTAAACATGATAGTCAGCTGCTGATGAACCTCTCTAGCCTCTTGGCATTTTCAGCTAGTGTTGCCATGGTGACTGCTGTTTAAAACCTTGTTTATTTTCCAGAAAAAACACCTGGCTTTCTGGTTTGAAAATAATTAAATGTGTGAAAGTGATTGACAGTGCAATTAAACAGGTAAATGAGAATCTTTGCACTGTGATTGTGCTCCAAAGAACCAGAGAAAACTCTGGTTCATTAATATTGGTAACTGCCCCCTGCCCTGTCTGTCCAACCAACCTACACCACTGCAACAGCAGGGTTATTTTTATTATTATTTTTTTTCATTCTAATTGGCTAGTTAAGGAAGGCTACTGCATCTTTATGAGTTCAACCTGAGGCTTACATTTTTCATAGCTTTATCTTGTTTTCATTTTATACACAGATTCAGATCGGCTGTCAAACGGATGGTCTGAATGCTGCAGAGTTGAAGAGAGCTCCACACGTTCATGTACGCTTTCCTGTCATCTCTGAAATGACACAAGTATGGAACCTGTGGGGAGGACTCATTTACCTTGTGGCTCCACCCAAAACAGAGGCACAAGGGTTGGAGGTTGTTGTGCAGATGGCTGTTCCTGCACCCTATTATAAATCAGGTGAGTTTGGTGGCAGAATTATGGATTTTTAACGAAGAGTCTTCTGATGTAGTCAGTAGATATTAATCGACATATTTAACACTGACCTCAGCACCGGTGCATAATTCAGTGGTGAAATTCTGTACAATATAATTTAGTTGTAAAAGTTGACTCCGGAACCACAAAATCAGGAACCAAGGTGCTTATAAACGGTAATAATAATGATAAAAATATACAAAGAGAGAAGAAAAAATAAAATAGGTTCAGACCAAATCGGATAAAGCAAAACATAAAATGAGGATCAAAAACCAATGGTGCCAACACCTTTTAATAAATTATTTTTTTATGTCTAAACATATCTTGCCGGGCAGTGTAACGCTTCAGTATTATTGTCTAAGTTTTAAGGAGAAGCCCATCTTTCTCAAGTCTTTTGTTCTGCAAACTCCATTCATCCATCTATGAAAATGAAACTAAGGAGATTTTTCTGTACACATAACATACCAGTGAATTCAAAACCAACCAACAAACTCGGACAAAAAAAAGGTTCATCCCAAAGACAGAACACCAGACGCAAAGCTGAGGGGGTAGTTTATGCAGTCACGTGCCTGGTGAAACCATCAGCGGCAAATTCATGGGGCTGTCAGGAAGAGAGAGATGTGGTTACAAAGTAAAACACATCCGCTCTGGGAGAAAAATACAAAATAAAACCTATAACCGCACGGGGAGATTTAGAGTTGCATAGATCATACATAGCAAGCGCGAGAGACTCGTGCAAAAATAATGAATGAAATTAAAAAGAATAAAAAAGAATTCCCATGATTGAACTTCAGGAGGACAGAAAACTAATAAAGTAGATGGCCTTTGGGCCTCGCAAATACAAAGAGGGACAGAAAGTGCAGTTTATCAGTATCCTCAAAAAAAAAGAAAAAAAACTTCAGGAAAAACAAAATCATGAGTGGCGTAGAGTGCCGGTAAGAGCGGCGTATCTCTCACACATCTTAATGGAAAAAAAAGAAAGGAAAAACTTCAATCAGCTTCACATCTCTCTTTGGGAATCCCCTCTCACCGCCTCAATCAGCATATAAACCATTCTACTGCACTAATTGATGTGTTTTTCTTTTCTTTTGACTTAAATCTAATTTTG